CCTCGAGGCGAAGAGAAAGGAACCAGTGATTGACAGCTACCTATGGTGCTGCCATGCGGCCTCGGTCACGTGGGTTCGTGACGTAAGGGGTAAAAGAATCTTGAGGTCATGTGGCTTCCCCTGACCTAGATTCTATCTCTCCGTCACCGGCAGAATCGCTGATTAATGCCTACAGTTCAAAATAGTCATTTTGACTGACCGGAGTCTATGAACTATGTGAATAGGCGGGTTCGGAGAACCCTCGCCTAATTTTGATTAATTTCCAATTATTTGTGCAGTTTTGACATCTTGATTTCATTATGCAAAAGTGTGGTCAGTGTATAGTTCTACTTTCTTTTTATGTAGCTTTGTTGGGCTATTGGATCAATAAGTGGTGCAATGCATGAAGAAGATGAGAAAAGATTCTTGGTAACAGTTATCAAAGATTTGTTGGGTTTATGTGAACAGAAAAGAGGCAAAGACAACAAAGCGATCATAGCTTCAAATATTATGTATGTCGTTGGTCAGTATCCAAGGTTTCTCAGAGCACATTGGAAATTCCTCAAGACTGTTGTCAATAAGCTGTTTGAATTCATGCATGGTAAGAAAACCGAATTTAGTTCTGTACACCAAAAATTATGAGCCCTTAACTTGTCACAGTCTGGGTGGGAGCTTAAGGATTTTCTTTCATTTGTTTGTTGCATTGCCCTTTTTTTTCCAACTTGGTATATTGTTTATACATGGTGATATACATATTATTGTTAATATTAACATTGGTATCACCTACTGACTGATTGAAACACGTCCATTTTTTTCCTGATGGCCATTTTGCACATCAAAAATACTTTTTCTCTCTCATTACTTGATAATGCAACTTCTTAATTTGTCTCAAATTCGGGTTAGTTTCAGAAAGATGCAACTTGTTTTTTGCTGCCTTTCTATCATAAATGGCATACTGGCAGCTATTTTATTAGTCCCCGTTCGAACAAAGTCCAAAAACGGGGACTTATAATTCGGTCTCCGTCTATGCGACCGTGCGTCCGTCCGGAGTCATATCTCAGAATCCCTTGGACCGATTCCGTTCATTCTTTGCATGTTCCTAGTACTTTATGTGGGACATATGCACATGCAGTGGTTTAGCGATTCGATTCAAAATGGCCGACTGGCAGCCATCTTGTTTTTTGAAAATGTTGTATTTTGGACATGCTTTGTCAGTTTTCATTCAAACTTGGTACATAGATTATACATGTTAGGATACATGTCCATGACGATTTATTTCACAATTGGATCAAAGATGGCCGACTGGCAGCCATCTTGTTTTTTGAAAATGTCGTATTTTGGACATGCTTTGTCAGTTTTCATTCAAATTTAGTACATAGATCATACCTGTTAGGATACATGTCCCCGACCGTCAGTGAGTTCCTGTGTCTGTCCGTCCGTGTGTCCGTCCGTCTCTGCGTCAATCTGTCCAGAGTCATATTTCAGAATCCTGTTGACCGATTCCGTTCATTCTTTGCATGTGCCTAGTATCTTAGGTGGGACATATGCACATGCAGTGGCTTAGCTATTCGATTCAAAATGGCCGACTGGCAGCCATCTTGTTTTTTGAAAATGTTGTATTTTGGACATGCTTTGTCAGTTGTCATTCAAACTTGGTACATAGAATATACATGTCTATGATGATATATTTCGCAATTGGATCAAAGATGGTAGACTGGCAGGCATCTTGTTTTGTTTTTTTATGCGGTATCTTGGACATGCTCTGTCAGTTTTCATTCAAATTTGGCACACACATGTATTTTATACATGTTAGGATGCATGTCCATGACAATTTTTTTCAAAATCTGGTCAAGGATGGCCGATTGACAGCCATCTGACTTTTTGGCCTTAATACTATATTTCCACAATTTATGTACCATTTTAATTCGAATTTGGCACAAACATCATACATATCAGTGTGTTTCATAATCAGATCAAAAATGGCCGAATAACGGCTGTTTTTATTTTTGGCCATGTTACTACTACATGGAACACGTGTTTTGATGTAAATAAACAATCTGTTATATACGCCACTTGGAACCCCTCCGCTTTAATATGACGAGCACAAAGAAAACTTTTAAACATTTAACGGGGACTGCGTCATTTTCAATGACTTTTTTTTCATCAAAATTTTGCTTACCGGGGGGTATATTTCGCATTCAGTGTTCAATTAGTTCCAAACTCAGTACACAAACAATTGCACATAACTGAAAGTTGTTCTATGTCATGATTCTATCCAAAATGGCCAACTAGTAATCTTTCTGTTTCTATTTCAAATTCACATTCAAATTAGTGGTATAAACTGACAATTCTTGTATATCACTGAAAGTTAATTATTTGTCTCTAATGATGAACTTGAATTATTCTTCACATAGTAGAATGCACACATCATATTCTATGTTAATGTGCTTGATTATTTCTGCATAAAATACGTTTATACGTACCTGATCATTAAAGTCCAGAGACTGTCCGCAAAGCAACTGAGATGATCACACTCAGTAAAAACAACTTGGTTATACTAATACAGTCTCTTTCACACTTACTCCAGAAAAACCTGTCCTGTCGCGTATATCAGCTCGGGTTGTCAAATTAGGTACAATACCTCAAAACTTTCCAGATTAATATATCTTGGGCAAATTTTAAGACTATACAACCTGTCCCACTTTCTCAATGAAGTGATCTCCAGAAAATGTTCTCTGTGTCACATATCTATTTTCAGTTGTTTTCAACAAAATTCATTCTTAATTCTCTAATATGTATCAACATCCAATTACATTGTATGTCAGAACTTTGTACACAGATAATTAATTCCTGTATTAGTTCATTTATACATTTGACATTTTGTTGAAATTTGCTACATAGTCACGAAATATAGTTCACTGCCTGGAACTGGAACATGCACTTGTATAAAAAAAGGAGTATAAAAACACAATGACTCCTATATTATGACAGGATGCCAATGCTCCCACCATTTACTAAAATATGTGCAAGTTGACACAAATTCATTTGATTCCATAGATGAGACATATCTATTTGTTTTTAACTACAGAAACACACGATGGTGTTCAAGATATGGCTTGTGACACATTTATAAAAATCGCTCAGAAATGCAGAAGATATTTTGTTCAAGTGCAAGTTGGAGAGGTGATGCCATTTATTGAAGAAATTCTTAACAGTATCAACACAATCATTTGTGATCTTCAGCCACAACAGGTAATAAAAATAAATAGTCTATTGGTATACTTGTAAATATAAATTTATTTATCATAGAAGAGTTACTGGTACTTTCATTTATGGCTTTATTGACCCATTTTTGTCTCATTCAATGTTTGTATTCATACAGTGTGTAGACAAGAACACTGTATTCAGCTTGACTTTTAACTGGCAATCGTGGTTAATAAATTTACTGCCTCAAAAAAGCACAGTTCTTTTATTGACTTCCATGTGTTTTTAACTTACAAAATTAGTTTAAAAATTGGTCTTAACATGTGATCTAAGAATTGCAGATGTTGACATGAACTCTATTAATTAAAGAATCAGAATCCATTAGATGCGTTTTCTCTACTATCACGATTTGTCGGTGAAGATACTTGCGATTGTCAATACATTGCCATCTGTTTGTGAATTTTAGGTTCACACATTCTATGAAGCTGTTGGATATATGATAAGTGCTCAAACAGATACAGTTGTCCAAGAACATTTGATAGAAAAATACATGATGCTACCAAACCAAGTGTGGGATGGAATCATCCAACAAGCTTCTAAGGTTTGCAATAAAATATATAATTCATAGTACATTTTCTCTATAGAAATTAAAGAAATTATCAGTTATTATTAATATCCTCATCAGTTTTCTTACATGTTTGTAATAATTACCATTTTGTGGTAATTTGATTATCTTAGCCGCAGTATTTCAGTTCCATAGCACTGTGTCAGTAGTGCTTTTGGCGTTCCCACTGCAGAAATTAAATGATGTGCACGCTATCTCAGATGACTTCTTCATGTCTGCTGAGACAATGTATAACAACAATCTACATGGTCTTTTGTTTGTTGGGAATTACAGAAGAACATTTAATACGAGTTTTTGTCTGATTTATGTCATAGTAACAGTCTGTAGATAGTCCTGCTATTATTATAAATTCAATCCAAGTGACTAATTGTGCTTTCATTCTATTTCACTAGAATGTTGATATTCTTAGGGAGCCTGAAATTGTCAAACAACTTGGAAGTATTCTCAAGACAAACGTTAGAGCGTGTAAAGCTGTGGGACATCCTTTTGTTGTACAGGTGAATACAAATATTTCTCTACTGAACTGATGAACTGTTTCATGCATATTCAAAATGTACCAACTTCTGTCAAATCTGTATTAGAAGCTGTGGTTTCTATTAGAGCATCTGCATGTGTGAGAAATTGTGATTTTTTGGTTTGCAATTATTCAAAAAGAATGGGTGCGACTTCTATTAGGGATGCAGCTTCTAATACAGATTTTACGATGCTGCAATTTTTTAGTTCCGGTGAGCTCTAGATCTCTCTTGAACTTTTTTTGCAAAATTCTTCATCTTCTCTCTTGATTACTTTCTTGGTAAACACATTGAAGGGTTTCCATGTTCGATGACCATCACCAGTGTTCTCCACAATCCAAATTAGCTGGTGGGTGGCCTAATTAGCATAAATTTGCATATCAATTTGCATATCAT